GCACAGATAACTGAAACTTGAGCAAGCCTCTTTCAAGGGCTGCTGGGATCATGAGGAAGAGTCCCCACTCATTCAGGAGAAGTGAGGTAGCTAGGAATGGAGATCCTGGAAAACACAGTGGGGCCTGGAAACTGTCAAAGGAAAGCCAGGGAAAAAGTGACAGAACACACCCTGGTCCCTGAACCATACAGGAGTTTGATGAGGTTGGGAGAATCCCCATAGAGAAGTCTAGAGGTGGCAATGGTGGGCAGTCAGCGGCTGGGGTAAGAGCGTCAGGGGTGGGAGGGGCACTCCTTATATTAGCCACAATAATGGGGGCCTCTGGAGCCCTACTAGGGTGCGTGCATAAGCCTGCAGAGGAAGTGGCCCACAGGCAGGGATGGGAGAGGCACAGTCAAGACACCAGGCACACACAGATACCAGGCATTTGCCTCCCAGAGGCTCCCACACACTCAATGCAAAATACACAGACACATGTGCCCATGTGGAGGGGCTCAGCACTCCCCTGGGGTACATGCAGTGCAAGAACTCACACAAGTGCATAGCTACACAAACAAGCACAGACACACACCCAGACATGCGTGCAAATCCCCCTCACAGGAGTCCTCACAGGATTCCTCACAGGCAAACATACACAATCCCAGGGACAAAAGCCAATTTCAGAGCACACCCTTGGACTCAAAATAGATATTCTAGCACAAACTCAAAAAACACATGTGCACACATAGGCAGGAAGATGGTATCCAAATGTCACACTACAGACACATGGACTCACACAGATCCACAGACACATGGAAGACACATCTTGTGTGTCTAACTTGGGGATCCCCAGAGACTCGTGTGTTTGTTTAGGTCCCCAAGCCTGAGCCATGAACATGTTCAAAATACATCTGAACAATCAGTCAAGTGGAGTTTCCTGGTTCATGACTTGGGGATCCCCCAGAGGTCACAGATCCCCATTCAGGCTCTCAAAGAGGAGAGGATGAGAGGCAGAGCCTGAGCTGAGGACTTGGGGACAGTAGAAGAGCCAGTGCCACTGAAGTGACCCCAGGAGACCAACTGCCTTTGTCTAATCCTGATTCTGTGCACCCCCAGACTGAAAGTGACCTCAAACCTCAGCCTGAGCCCAGGGCCCAGCCTCGAATTAATATCACTGAGCCCTCCCGGGGAGCCTTCAATGACCACAAGGAGAAGCTGGGACCATATAGGCAGGTGGGCTAGCCACCCTATCTCCAACACAGGGTACCCCTGGCCAGATGGGCCTCTTAGCAGGGCAGTTTGCAAGACCAGTCACGAGAGCTCGGAGGGCATGTTTAAGAGCACGGTTAAAGTTTTATAGCTGGCCACAGCCATTTGGACCTGAGGGCCATGCCCCTGCCTTGCCACAGACAGAACCCGTCGGTGGGAGGTGCAGGGACCTAGCCAGGCCACATACCCAGGCCCCACATTCCCGAATGACCTTACTGAGAGCATCTCCCAAGTCCTGTCCTGGCAGAACCTCAGCTTCCCCAAGCTGCCCTGGCTGCATTTGGTATCTATGCCGCAACCCACAGGACCTTCATAATTGCTCCCGAACTGGCTCTCCACCTCAGCCACCAGTGCAGCTCTTCCCCTGCTACGAGCACTCAATACTCTCCAACCAGGCTCACCAGAAGCCTGTTCCAGCCACATGCCAAGGACTAGGAACACAGGGACAAATAACAAGCAGCACTACCTGTGCTGAGCATTTACCATATGCCAACACTGCACATGCAGAAGTCATCAAATCTAAATAGCCAAACCTAGTCATCACTGTTCATATACTATTGTTACCATTTTAACAGAGGAAGATACTGAGGCTGAGAAGTGAAGCAGTCTCCCTAAGGTCACGCAGCTGACGAGTGGCAGAGCTGGGGTTTAACAATCTGGGTGGTCTGCTCCAAGAGCTCATGGTCACAGTCTCCTAACAGGCTTGGACGTGCCCACCAGGGCCTCACAACCTGGCAGAAAAATATCTACCCTCCCCTGCTAGCTACAGATATGTATGTCACAGGGCTGGGGGTTACACGAACACAGATCCAGGTGGGCTGGGATGGTCAGGGAAGGCTTCTCGGAGGAGATAGGTGGATTTGAGGTGTGATGAGGCTGGGGTTGCAGATGGTCAGCTGGGGAGGAAAATGCACACAGCTCCCAAGTCAGACTCCCTGGGCTGGGATCTGGCTCTCACCCCCATTCATTCTGAGGCCTTGGGCATGCTCCTTTGGTTCTCGGGATCTCCGTTTCCTCATCCGTAAAATGGGAATCATTGGATGTTGTGAGGATTAAACAAGATGAGTTAATCCAACTAAAGCTCTTTGAACAATGCCTCGCTCATAGTAGATGTTTTTAAACATGTTAGCCATTGTCCTCACTGTTGTTATTATCACGATCATGCTCACTCTTCTGCAAGACAGGCTCAGCGAAATGAGGGAGACCTGGCACACAGTGGGTGCTTGGTCCCTGAGAGGGAGCAGACAGGGAGAGCAATCCAGGAGGGGAGATGGCCCAAGTACCCCAGGCTGGGGCTCCCCCTCCCAGAACAGCCAGAGCAGAGCCCCTTCCTCACCCAGCCCCAACCTGACTCTGGGCCTCTCTCCCATCACCACCTCCGGGTGGCCTCCAGGCTTTCTCTGAGTGGGTACAGCGGGTCGGCGGGGCACCAGAGCAGCCTGGTCCTCCAGGGCACCAACTTCAGCACCCGCGATGCAGACAACGACAACTGCCTCTGCAAATGTGCCCAGATGCTGTCCGCAGGTGGGTGCGGGGTGGGCTGAAGTCCCACCCACCCACAAGCAGGAGATTGAAGAGACCTCCTGAGACACAGAGACAGGAACAGATAGAGACGGAAATACTGGGGCTCACAGAGAGACAGAGCGATGGAAACCGAGAGCCACACGGGGACAGAAGTCCAAAAGGAGCAATGGAGAGGGAAATGCAGACCGGGGAAAGACAGAGTAACACAGTGTGTGAGAGACAGAGAGACCCAGAAAGACAGAGACAGAGACCATCGGAAAGAAATGGGCACAGTTTCAGAGAGACACGCAAAGTGACCGACAAGCACAGAGACCGACAGAGAGAGAAAGAGACAGCCCTGGGTGTGAGAGACTCCGAATGATGGAGCATTAGAAACCATGGAGAGAGGGAGATGGAGGCTTGTGAGGCAGCGGGAAAGAGGACAGTGACGGAGGGAGACAGGACGGAGGTGGGGAGAGGGTCAGGAGGTGGGGTGCCAAGGGCAGCCTGAGCCCAGTCCAACCCTCCAGAGGCCCCAGGCTGGGCAGACAGTCTAGGAGTCTCCCTCCCACCCGCTATGCCCATTCCTACCCCCCATGCCCACTCCTACTCAGCCCCATCTCCCGTGAGCTGGCTTCCTGGAGGAGGCAAAAGCCTGATTCATTTTTGGGGTAGTGCTCTGCCCTCACTCTACTGGTGGACCTCCAGCTCATTAAAGCCTCCTCCTCCCCTCCTCCAGGGTGGTGGTTTGACGCCTGCGGCCTCTCAAACCTCAATGGCATCTACTACCCAGCTCGCCACCACGTGCGCAAGCTCAATGGCATCCGCTGGCACTACTTCCAGGGCCCCGGCTACTCGCTGCGTGCCACTCGCATGATGATGCGTCCCGTGGGCATCTAACGGCAGCCACGCCTGGAGCCTGGACCCGCAGGAGGAAACAGGACTTGGTATTCCCTGGACAAACTGGACCCAAACGAAGGACACAGTGCCAGGGCCTGGTCCTGGACACGGACACCTGAGTCTCCTGAGCTAGCCCTCCTTGGCCCAAGAATTCCAAAGAGTCAGCTGCCTTCCTGTTCTCCTCAAGTTGTGAAATGGTGGGTGGGCTTTTGAGAGTTCCTGCCTCTGTAGTATTCCTCTTTCCTCTTTCTTCCAGTCTCCTGCTGCCCCCCTCCCCCCATCCCCGCCAACTTGAGGGTTACAACACCCTGAATGAGCTGAGAACAGACTGAACTTGGCTCCTCAAAGGAATACCTGGCTAATGGTGGAATTTCAGGCATGTGGGAAGGTATTTTCAGGCAGGAAACTGCTCAGATGGAGACCCAGATTCTGCCCCCAGGGTTGGTGGGAAGATCATCTCCTGTTCCAAGCTTTCTCAGCTTTTAGATGTCCTTGAGCTTCTTGTTCAAGGCTGAAGGGGCTACATCCACCCAAAAATAGGAATCACTATTTCCATCCCACACTGTCCACTGCTCCTAGGCCTCAGCTTCTGCAGCTCAGACATGGTCTCTTCAGGAGATCTAAGAGAGATTTCTTGTCCACCAGCAGGTCCCAGAATGTGTTCCACAAAAAGTAACTCGGACTCCCCTCTCAAAGTACCTATGGTCAATTGAGAGAAGGAAGCACCAGGCTAAATCAATGAGAGCAGGCATTCTTAGCTGCAGGACTTGTCAGAGCCTTTAATATGCTTTGTGACTGCCCATGAAGGGCTAAAGTGGGCAGCTTTCTCCAAATTTGCTTATTTGAAAATGGGGACTGTGGGTGCCCTTGGAAAAAGCTGGTCCTTAAGTGTCATGAGGAGGAGCCCCAGAGCCCCATCCCTCACCCCTAGCTGTACTCACCCTTTCTGGCTACAAAAGCCACAGTGAAGATCTCAAACAGCCTTTAAAAATGACTGGAAGGAAACTTTGGGTTAAAATAGATACACACCATCCCTGAAGAAAGTTCTAGAACTAAGTTACCTGTCCGTGTGCTATGGGCCAGTGTCCTCCAAGGCTCCTTCTGGCCCCAGGAAGCCAGGTTTTTGCCTGGGGCTGCCCTCAGCACTCCCTGTAAGCCCAACTCACTCTAGCTCAGGTACAGGGACTGCTGGGGACTGTCCATGCCTTGGGCAGGACACTAATCCCCATGTCCAGATCCTTCTAGGTCTAAGGAACCCCTAGCCCCTCCTCCTGCCCCACCCAACATGATGCTACAGCTGTGCTTCTGGGAGACAGAGTCTTTGCCTGAGTCTGAGAAAAATGGGCTCCTCGTGAGCTTTCAGGAGACAGGGTCAAAGAAAGGCCACAGACACTTAGCTATCCAGCCCCCATCACTGTGTCACGCTCCTCAGTCCCAGTGAGGCCACCACAGTCCTGTCATCAGCAACACCCAGGTCCAGCTAAGAACGAGCTGCCCAGGATGTGCCTCTGTCTTCAGAATGTTTTCTTCTGGATAAGGCTGGGGCAGTGGAAACAAGCATCTTCATCCCACCTTGCTCCACCCAGCCCCAGAGCCCCATTCTTAGTCTGTCCCCTGAGTAAGCCTAGAAGGGATTAACACAGATCTTCGGGAAACCAAAGGCTGTGGTTGCTAATGGTGGCATTGCAGGCAGGAGGGGGAAGTACTTAGGGACAGATTGCTGCCCAAAGGCTAACATAGCCTTACACTGCATTTGCTCAGCAGGCCTTTATTTAGCACCTACTGTGTGCAGTGTGGCACCATGGGCAGGGCTTGGAGTCAGACAAATCTGACTTGAACTTGAGGCCAGTGGCTCAGCCTCTCAAGCCTTCAATTGTCTTATCTGTGAAATGGAGATGACACTCCCACCTCACAAGGAGATGAGACCATGTATGTCTGCTTCTGAACAGAACCTGGCAAAAAGCAGGTGCCTAATAAATGTTAGTTCCCGAAGAGGTGAATGGGGTGGGAAATTGACCCCCAGTGCATGCCACTACTTCTCCTGGACCCAGGTAAGGTAAGCATTTATTATTGGACCCACAGCATTAATTTTTATGCTGCTGGAGAGGAGGAGGGCAAAGCTGTGAGCCCCAGGAGCAGATTCCTGGGTGGGGTTAAGGCCCAAATCTTTGTGTATACTTCAGTTCTCTAAAAAGGCCAAGAAGCTGATTTGGGTTACCCTAAGACACCTATTCTTAAATATTCACCCTTCCCCCTTACCTTCCTTCCTCCTCCATGCCAGGACTCTCCAGCACAAGGCATAGAAACCCTATCCTGAGGAATGGATTGGCTCACATACCAGGAAGTCTCGAAGTAAATTCAGGTGATCCAGGGGCTCAAATGATGTCCCTCTCCATCTCTCAGCCCTGCCATCCGCTATGTTGACTTAATTCTCAATCATGTTCTCTTCTGACAAGATGGCGCCACCAGCCCCAGATCATTACTCCCAGCTCAACATCCCTAAGACAGAGAGCTCCCCAGTCCCAGTGATTCCAGCAAAGGCATGATTCTCTCCAGCTAGGACTGGTCCTATGTCCACCGCTGCACTTATCACTGTGATTCTGATTGACCAGATGTGGGTCGAATGATCATGCTTGGAACCAGGGGGTGTGGTCAGTCCCACCCGAGCCATGTGGAAGAGCAGTGGGAAACAGGCACTGTTTCAGGAAGCATCGATGCTGGGCGGGCAAGAACCGGTGATCGCTTTTTCTCCACCCATCTCTCTGACTTCCATCTTTTTTTTCTCCATCTCTAACCCTTTCCCAGCCTCCCTGCCCCCAAGGTCTGGCCCCATGCTCTAGCCCATCCCCAGGTTGCCCTAGACTATCAAGGATACAGCTGCTTTCTGCCCAGGAGATGTCAGACCCTGGTTCACAGTACTGGATCTATCCTAGAACAATGACTCATGATGACTGCAGGCAAGACCAGCCGTAGGGCTGTGAGCAGCACCAGGCCTTGTGGGATGCATGACTGGTGTGACTTGGCCCTGGCCAAGTCTCCTGGGGGCCACTGCTCATAGAAACTGGCTTCTGGGATACCTGTATTTGTAGGTTCCTATACAGAATCCTTGTCACCTCTCCCTACATCAGACCAGTGTTCTCTCCATTTTAATGATGAAGAAATTAGAGCTCAGAGAGGGAAAGAATTTTATCTAAGGAAGCACAGCAAAACACCACTTCCAGTGCACTTGCATCTGGAAGCTGTCTCCCTAGCCCAGAGCTTCTAGAGGCGTCTTGGGAATAATATCCCCTCCACCAATATCAAAGGCTGAAGGAAGTTTCTGGAAAGCTCTCCAAGACCTGTCTGTCTTTCCCACTGGCATCTGATAGGTCCTGATAAAACCAGATAGACAAACATATTTTTCCAGAGATCTCTGCATGTTCCCAGCAAAAGCAATTTCCATGCCAAGGGAGAGAGTTCACTCCAGAGATGACAGTCATAGGCAAGGCAGAAGGTGGCCCTTTGCAGGGAGCAGGGGAGCAGCCAGCAAAAGCATGGATTGTCTTGGTGGCTGGGGGACTTGACCCTTTTTTCCAGATTTTCCTTCCTTTCAGTGTGTGTGAGAGAATTCACCTCCCATTTAAAGATGCTACAGAAAGTAGCATCATCTTTTGGTGGAGCAGGCCTTCGGAGCATGGTGTCTGGTCCAGACCATGTTTAGCATCAATGGGTTACCTTCTTGTATTAGACTAATGTGGGAAAGTGCAGCTGATATTCTCATTTTCTGAAAGCAGGGAAGTCCAAAGACCTTTCATGTACAACACATTCCTGCCCTACCAGATGAGACCACTCTGAGCCTTCCTTTCCGTGTCTGTACAATAAGGAGACTGGGATCTCGTTCACAGGGAAGTTGTGCAAGTTCAATGTGATAGTGGACATCCAAGCCTGACAGTCATTCATACGCACATTCATTTATTCAAATAACAGGTATGTTTTGAGTAGCAGCCTGGGCCAAGGCATGGCTGGGCGACAGGAAAGGAGCAGTGAACAAGATGCACATCCACAGTCCTGTACTCGTAGAGCTTAACAGGCTAGAGGAAGAGACTGGCCCAAATCAATTTTTTTTTAACAAATTAACAAATCAATATTTTGCAAATGAGGAAAATAAACAGGAAGTAGAGATAAGAGATTACAGAGGGTCTAACAGGGTGATTAGGGAAAGCCTCTCAGAAGTGATGTTTCAATTGAGGACAAATAAGGTGTGAAAGGAGCAGCCAGGAGAAGAGCTGAGGGAAGAGTAGGCCCACTAGAGGAACAGCAAGTGCAAAAGCCCTGAGGTAGTCATGAGGAGCTACAAGGAAAGCAGCGTGGCTGAGAGCAAGGGGAAACGTGGTGGGAGAATGCGCCCTCAAAGCACCCACATTAGGGATTGACTCCCCACACTAAAGGCTGGATCTAGCCACCACTCTGCCTGAGCCCCTGTGGAGGTGGGACAAATTCCCGCTCCTCTCTAAACTTCCGTTTTTTAATCAGTAAAATGTAGGAGAGGGATCGCCTCTGTCTGAAAGTCATCCAGATCCTATTAGAGTATAACTCTGGGTCCAGGACTGTGTCGTGTCCACTGCCCGAGCTGGGTGCCATCAGAGGAGTCAGACAGAGGAAGAATCTTGCCCTCAGGCTAAATGGGGAGTTCAGAGTGTCTCCTACACAAGGTCAGCCTGGGTTACTTGGACATTGACTGTATGCCTCCTCCAA